AAAATTATTAATATCCTGCGTTACAATCTGGATACTATAGTGCGCGTTTATTCTGTGGGGACCAGAGACTAAAAATAAAAAAAACATAAACTTTTCATTCGGCTGCTTTAGAATGAATGCAAAAATCTATAGGTATCTGCTTAATATTGTAAGAAATAAATTGATAACAGACACAAAACATTTTGAGTTTTAACTACTAAAAATATTCTAAACATTAAGTTTACAAAATGTATTTCGTTTTAATAATCTAATAAAACGGTATCTATATTTTTTTTATTTTGATCCCCTCTCCAACTTAAAAAAAAAAAAAAACAATACTTTTTTTTATTTTATCGTGCGATAATTTTTTGTGAAAAAAATAACAAGACAAGCAGACCGTATAGTTACGTACGTTGCATTGTTTGTAAAATCGTTCTGAATCGCTTTGTGGGAGTGCGACTTGTAAACAATTCTACAAAACAATTTTATCTACGACGTGGCGCCACTGACCGTAAGCGCACAGTATTACTATCGTTATACGGAGGTTTTTTTTTTTTTTATATATATTACATATATTTTTTTTTATTGGTAATAAAGGATTCACTGGACGACAACGTCGCCGTCGTTATAGCCTCCGATTACAGACACATTATCTTCTTTCGTTGGCATTGTAGTGATGTCGTGAGTGTACACTAATAATCATTTCGTATAGCGACGGTATTTAATGGCGTAAATATACCTGTTTTTATTTTCTCTCGGACCAGTCGATAAACGTTTTCTTCTCGCCGAGTGCTAATATTCTCTTCCACCGTTGTGGTTTCAGGGTGTGTCCGTTCAAACTCGTTTACAATAGTACGCCGTGTGTTTAGTCGTCGACGACGGGAATATTGAATCGAGTACCGAATAACCATACAATTATTTGTGTGTTGCATGAGTCCGAGGCCCTTTACGAGTGTTAACGGTATCCGGGACCGAAAAGCTAAAAAAGTAAAAAATCCCGATAATTTACACTAACATAGAATTCTGTGAGTTGTATCCGATTACTGCAATCGGCGGGCCAATGTGATTGTTCCTTGTTTCCATCTGTTTCGGTTTATCCCGCCGTAGTTTTTGATTGTAGATTTTAAGTTTACACTAATACTACTAATTCCCTTAGAACATTAACAGTTTTGAAACAACCGATAGGTTGAGTATTCGTTTTAGTTTGGCATAATCTAATTTTTCATTTTCTCACATGGTTTCGGCAAAATTTCCCAATACGTTGTACATAAAACACCCCAAAGAGGTCGCTACAGACAGTATAATCTCCCGAAAAATTACGTGCTCCTGTATTGTTTCCTGTGTTCAAAACATTTAATATTTTTTAGATTGTCAGTACAGTGGTGAGAAGTGTATTGATTTAACTATGATTTATGTTTTTTTTTTCCGTCTGTAATTACATGTTTCCTGTAACAAATATTAAAATCATTCACAGTATGAGATCAACTCGGCTTATCTATATTTTTGGAAAAAATTGTTCTCTGTTTCCATCTTGACAACTACCATATGAGTGATGCCTCCTATGTATACAAGTATATATATAAATATTTATATTGATGAATCGTGTGTGTCCCAAATCCCGAATAAATTTTGCATCGTGGGTAAAGAAAACCGAGTATTGTCGGTGGATCGATGATACAATATTTTCGATTGTTCAAGAAAATTTCTTTATAATCGGGCAAAACCTAGGAAAACCGGAAACAATTTACTCAATTGTGGTTTCCGTCATTTTCTATTGATTTATTTTTTTTATTCGGATAAACACGAAACCCAGAGAACTGGACTCGTATTTTATTATAAAACTATATTAATATCTTATTTACCCGTACTATATTCGACATCCAAATCGCGGTTTCAGGTGTCGGACAATCGTACGGCTGATGATAATAAACCCTGCCGGAATGCGCTGAAATTCCGATTCGGAGATTTCGAACCGCTATTAAATTGTAACGTATACTCGTATATAGTGCGGAGCACTGTGCAGCCGAGCGATATTACGGCCGGGTCGGCTGCGCGCGCGGGTTTCGCTCGGGTTCGAGTGAAACCCGCGGAGGCGCTCCCCCCCCCGACCGTGCGCGCGGACGCCGCCGTAAAAACGAACTTTCGGACCCCCCCGAGAGGCATATTTTCGGCGTTTTATGCGGCGAACACGGCCGAAAGACGAACAAGAGCGGACGCGCCCGGGACGTGTGTTTCGTTTCCGTGTATAAATACACGCGCGCGAAACTCCGAAAACGCACCGCGAGGGCGCCGCTACGCGCTGTGTTACGCGGCAATACGGCGCGTCCGTACGGTCCGGCCGGACGTTTGTGCGGCGTGTGAACCCGCGCGACGACGTAGTCTCGGAAAACGGGCTTTCGGCCGCGCGCGAATCGGTTTTCCCCGAACCGCGCGGCGACGGCAACCGTACGGCTTTCCGTTTCGCCGCGGTCCTTCAGAACATTATCGCGCGACCACGGCCCGCCGGACGTTCGGAACCCAGTACGAAAAACCGTACGGACGAAAACGGACGTATTGCGGTCGCGACACTGAACGGCGGTCAGTGTCGGCGGTCTATCCGAAACTACGGCGAGAACGCGGATTTTTCTTCTTTTTTTTTTTTTTTTCTTTCTTAAACTTCGCGTCGGAAGTTGACGGAAATGCGAATTTAAAAAGACGAGCCGGGCAACGGCGAGGAGAACAAAGCGCGCGCGTACGTTTTGTCAACAAACGAGGAAACGGAAATAAACTATAATAACACGATTATTTGTGCGACCGGAAATTAATACGACAGTTGTTTGAATGTTGTTTTAGAAGCGAGATGTTCGAGTCAGAGGAAGAACTATCGTATAATGTCCATTGTTTCTGGGACCTCCGTGCTATCATAAGTTAACTAGATTACGTATTTTAGATTCTGGGTGTAGCGTAAAAGCCATCGGTTTTATTAATACGTGTTTTTGGTATTCGAAAATTCCATTATTCTCCGAAAACACTTTTCCGATGAGTAAATATACACCTCCGAATATTGTTCGAATTGTGTCAAGATATGGAATTTCCGTCCGGTAAAACGTTATTTGAGAGCAGTTTTTTTAGATTTCAAAATGTTTATCTAAAAAATTAAAAACACCGACGACAAATGTTGTAGATAAATCAATTTTGTATCAATTAATTTCCGGGTTATCTCGAATTGGCTGCAAGGAAAAAAAAACACGATTAATATCAATATCAGATAAGCGTTTAGAAGGAAGTGTCGGTTTTTTTATTTCACGGATTTATTGTCGCTTTCAGTATATAAACTAAATTACCTTATGTCCTATACATTTCCGAATTTACAACCGAATGCAGGGTGCCAAATGCCCAAGTACGTCCGGTGTTTTTCATACATTATCAACAATTCGCAACGGTCGGAATATAGGACCTCGTGTGGTTATTAATATTTAACCGCTGACATTTGAAAACCGACTCAATAGAGAAATCGGTTATTTCAGAACAACAGTTTATTCAAATTCGAACACAATTAAAATCGAATTAATAGCAATACTGTCGACTATACAGACCCGGTCGTTAATGTCAAATGCGCACTGCAGTAATAGAAGCAGGCGAACTCGATTAAAATCGAATTTTCCATCGTCAAAGAACAATAATATTATTTCACAGTATACAAAAAAAACGACATGTTACGTTGTACATTACGTTATTTGAGAGTGTTTTAACGATTTTAAAATGTAGATGTAAAATCGCTTGTCGTAAAAGCCAAAAGCCGTTTTAGCCTTTACCAAAAGGTGATTATAATACATTAACTTGTCCAAACATAAAACCTATCAAATAACATCATCGCCGTAAAAATATATACGCTTTTTAAAATAAATAAATGTTATTCTAACGACAAATTCTTTCAACCGTCACGTATTTGTCTGCGCCGTAAACCTAAGCCTGTGTGATAAATATGAATCACTAATATTGATTTATTAAATAATTCTAGGCGTGAACGATTAATATATTCACGCGGGTTCACCGATACTGTAATTCGCCCGCACTTTGGTACATGGCTACCGATTTCGTGCCTCTATATCGAGTTAGTTTATACATTTATACCGTAATCGCGCATAGTATATAGTATTATGCTGTTCGTTTTTTTTTTTTTTTTGAAGTTGGGAAATTCGCAGAAAATACTTATTTAACAGGTTGTGAATACGGTTCGGAAGTGTAAAAAGGAAAAAGAGAAAACAAACCGACTCTTTCGGTTAGAAAGGAATAGGAGAAAACAAACCGACTCTTTCGGTTAGAAAAAAATAGAAAAAAAAAAAAAAAAA